GGGTGGACTGGAGATTCAAAATGGCAGTGGAAACTTTAGATCGATTTTTCTGCCTGGGGAGAGGGTGTTTGGAGTCTCAGCAGGGTCCCTCTAGACCCCACTGCCTGTAACTCTCACACGTGGGGTGAGATAATAGGTCCTCAGTTCATCTCTTGCCTGTAGGAAGCTTACAGGAGCAAAGAGAAAACAAAGAGAAAAACACAGCTCTCTTGGGGGAGGGGACGGGCACTTTTCCTTTGAGATGTTCCATATACCTGTAAGTTGCACTCGAGGAGTCACAGCTTGCCTCAGCAGAGGTGTCCTGCAGGTATGACTCTTCTCTCTTGCTGGGCTCCTAGTCTTCAACTTTGTTGGGTGTTTTCTGGACTTTATCCTTCCCTCTGAACGGGAGCTTCTGTCGGAGGCTGGTACCTATCGGCCATCTTGCCCCACCCTAACCTGCAGATTTTGAACTTGCCAGTTTCCTCAATCACATGAGCAAATTCCTTAAAAATAAATCTCTCAAAATAAATATATACTTATCCTGTCGCTTCTGTTTCTTTGGAGAACCTTAACTAATGAAACCAACCATGAAGGGCCTTCCCCATCCTCATTCAACTTTAACTGGAACATGAAGGAGCAGGCAGGGTGAGCAAGCTCCTTTTTCAGATGATAACATAGAGGTCCAGAGAGGTGGAGACATTTGCCCAAGTTCACACAGCTAGCAAGTTGTCTGGCTAGGTTCTAACTCCAACACATTGCCAGACTCCAAAGCCTATGCTTCCTTTGTTATTTTTAAAAACACTTTGTTCTGAAATAATTTGAAATGCTGAGAAAACACTATTCAATTTTAATCCCTTCTTAACCTTGTGATTACTTTAGAGTTTAAACATAAGTAGAACTTGTAAAATGAAGCAATAAATTAAGCAGCACAGAAATCTTTCAAATAAGACATTCATTTTATTTATTTTCAGACTCCTATTAAGACATATATCAAATCCTGGTGCTAGGACTGAAACTTTAAAATTTATTTAAAAATTCCAATTCTTACATTTTTCTTTGAATTTTCTAGTATCTAAAAGAAAGACTTTTTTTGTTTTTTTATAGGAAAATTATTAAATAAAGTCAATGTTTTAACTCACATAGACAATGTTTTATATTTTCAAGGTATGTACATATGTATACATGTATTTTTGTATGTAATACAAAACTGAGTATCTTAATATGCACTTTTCTTTTTTTTAATAAAAAGTAACATTTAACACACACACAAAAAGAAATGCTGAGAAAATTTGCAAGATATGTACAAAGAACTTTCTTAGACCCTCCCTGCAGAATATTTTAATCTCACTTACCTGTGTTCTTTCTCTGTATACATTTTATGAGTATTTTTATTCCTATACCATTTGAGTGCATGTTGCAGATTATATGTCCCTTTACTCCTAAATGCTTCAATATATCCCCCCTAAGAATAAGGATATCTTATTGCATAAATATAGAACAATGGTCCAGTTCACAATTTTAACCCTGATACAATGCTATAATCTCTTACAAAATGAATATATTGTTCCACAGACATTTGACCACTTATTCCAATACTCTTCTTTATAGCATCCCCCCACCCCAATCTAGGATCCTGCATGATGTTGAAGTATCTAATGTCACAGATGTGTTCCTGGGAAGCCCAAAGGGAAAGGTTTAGACATTTTTTTTTTATGGGGAATGTCCCCTCAATGTCCTTCCCAGTTATCCATCCTTGAGGTATTTTAACGGCATGGCAAGAGGCAGGATAGTAGTTCTCCGACTGTGGCCCACCTAATCTGTCCCTGGGAACACCGTGTTTTATGGATCATCTCCATGTTTTGTGGGTCAGGCCCTACTGGCCACCCTAGACACTGCCACTCATTATGAAAACTGTCCACTAGGCGATGACTGCTGTCTCTTGGCCTCTATTATTTCTGGGTAATAGAATCCTTTTGCTTTCAGTGACCTAGTTCCCTAAGGGTTCTGCCTTCATCCTGTGATGGCATCTCCAGCAGAGGAGGCCACCTGAATGTCTCTGTGGTGCTGGCTGGTGTCCTCTCCCTGGCTCAATCCTCATGGCCCCAGTTGAGGAGGCTTGGGGCCTTTCTATGGATAGCATCACTCCTGGCTTCTGGGGGCCTATGCAGCATGTCTGTCTGAGTGTGCCCACTTTCCTGACCTTTAGTTCCGTCTTTCACCAACTCCCAGGGCAACTCCTGATCTCATTCAGTGTTGACTATCGGTTTCACCATTCCTCTAGGAGACTTCATAGAAGCAAATTGGCACCTTGTCCTGGAGTCCTTTCCAGGGTGTGAAGTCCTGCATTCCCAAGGGGAGTTCAGAGCAATGCATTCTCCCTAAACTGACCTCATGCTGCAGCCTCACCCTCTAGGTCTGTCCCCACATGCACTCACTGGCTTCTGCTGGTACAGACTAGTTGGGCCCTCCAGCTCCTTTGGAACATAGGCTCTTTGCCCCCTTCTGAGGCCTAGCACATCCCTGGCTGGGTTATGTTAGGACTGAAGCCTTGTCATAGGCCTAGTAGGTAGGAGGGGAGGTGGGCACAGGCCTGGGGGGCACATGCCTTGTGGATGAGAAGCCTCTGTAAGGTCTTCAAGCAAGGTAAGAGGTGCTAGCTCTTAGCAGGGAAGGGCAGATGGGCCACTTCTATAGCGCCAAGTGTTCAGGGGAACTGGGGATTCAAGGTTCTCAGAGACATTGAGACATATGTCCCCATTCTATGTGTCAGGGTCCTATTCTTCCTCATGTAGGGCCTTCACCTCATTTAGCAGACCAGATTGTTTTGATAGTGTATCTTTTTTTTTTTTTTTACAACCACTAGGATAGCTACAATCAAAATGATAGACAATAAAAAATGTTGGCAAGGATGTGGAAAAACCAGAACCATTACTCACAGCTAGGTGTGTGTTTGTGTGTATGTGTGTGCACACACTTGTGTGTAAATAATGTTGCTGCTCTGGGAAACAGTCATGCAGTTCTCCAAATGACTAAACACAGAGTAACTACAGGACTCAGCCATCCCACTTCCAGGTATATGTAAAGGATAATGCTCTGTGACTACTAGACTGGGCTAAGGGATACCCAGATAGCTGGTAAAACGATGTTTCTGTAAAGGGTATTTCTGGAAGAGATTAACATGGGAATCCATAGGCTGGATAAAGATCACCCTCAATACGTCTAATCCATTGAGGACTTGAATCGATCAAGAGGGCAGAGGAATGGCAAATTTTCTCTCTTTGCTCGAGCTATGACATTCATCTTTCCTTGCCCTCCTGATTCTTGGGCCTTTAGACATGGATTGGCACATATATCATCTATCCCCTTGGTTCTCAGGCCTTGGAATGCAGACTGGGACTTACGCCACTGGCTGCCTTCGTCTTAGGCCTCTGATTGGAGGCCTGGCTTTCTCAGGTCTCCAGCTTACAGAAGGCAGATTGGAGCACTTCTCAGTCTCCATGATAACATGAGCCAGTTCCTCACAATACACATCTTTCTATATATTTCTATCTTTTTTGAGACAGAGTTTCATTCTGTTGCCTGGGCTAGAGTGCAGTGGAATCAACCTAGCTCACAGCAACCTCAAACTCCTGGGCTCAAGCGATCCTCCTGCTTCAGCCTCCCAAGTACTGGGACTACAGGTGCCTGCCACAAAAACGGGTTAATTTTTCTATTTTTAGTAGAGACAGTGTTTTGCTCTTGCTCAGGCTGGTCTTGAGCTCCTGACTTCAAGTGATCCTCCTGCATCAGCCTCCCAAGGCACTAGATTATATGTATGCGCCACTGCTTCCAGCATATATATATGTATGTGTGTGTATATGCATATATATTTAATTAATTAATTTATTTATTTATTTTGCAGTTTTTGGCTGGGGCTGGGTTTGAACCCACCACCTCCGGCATATGGGGCCAGCGCCCTACTCCTTTGAGCCACAGGCGCTGCCCATATATCTCTATTTTAATGGTTCTGTTTCTGTGGAGAACCTGGACTAATAGGATGTTCCTCAACTTACAATGGGCTATGTCCCAGTAAACCCATAATAAAGTTTAAAAAATCATAAGCAAACCACTGTTAAGTCTAGATGCTTCTTGACTTATGATAGGGCAATGTCTGGATAAAATCATCAGCAAGTTGAAAAATTGTAAGTCAAAGTTGGGGACTGTCTGTATATTCCTAAAATAAATGGAAACATGTGTCCACACAAAATCTTATGCATAATGTTCACATCAGCATTACTTATAAAACCCCCAAAGTGAAAACAATCCAAATGCTCCTCACTGGATAAGTGGATAAACAAAGTGTGTCCTATCCTACCATGGAACGTTATTCTGTAATAGGAAGGAATGAGGCACCTGTGCAGCTAGAACATGAATGAACCTTGGAACACGTTATGGACAAGAAGCCAGAGACAAAAGGTCACACCTTGCATGATGCTACTTATAGAAGATGTTTGCAATAGATACTACACAGAGCACAGGAGTGGTTTCCAGAGATTAGGGAAAGGATGGGTTGGAGCAATGGGGGGTAAGTGCTGATGGGTTTTGGATTAACTTTGGGGATGGTGAACATGTTCTGCCATTAGTGTGGTTAAGGCACCGTGATGAGGCTCACCTGGTCACTACGTGGCATATAAGTCTTGTGAATATACTCTGACCACTGAATCGTATACTTTAAAAGGGTGAGATTTATGGTATGTGACTTCTCGCTCAATAAAGAAGTTTTTAAAAGTTAAAAATGAAAGGAAGTTTAAAAAATTAAGAAACCCCGACACTTTCTCTGGAGTCCTATTGTTCTTACAATCTGACTCTGGACTTGGTCTTCACTTTTTCTGCCTTTTGGCCACAAGAGATATGAACCTTGTTATGTGTGAGCGATGAGGCTCTCGACCCTCACTCCACTTTCAGTCACTGACCGATCCTGATCACGTTTAGTTAGCTTTGGGTTAGTTTTTTTCCCGAGTCATGACAAGGGCCACTCATTTCCACTGGGCTGTTTATTTATGTGCTACCACCATACTGTTTAAGCACTAGAGGATTCATAGTATGTTTTAATATTGGCTAGAGCTGCTGCCTCCTCAGAACTCTTTTTTTTTCTGTATTTTCCTGGTTCTCTTGTGGGTATATTTTTTCATAAGAACTTTACTTTTGGCTCGTCTGTTTCCACAGAAAAGTGCATGTGGGTTATTTTTACAGTGATTGTCTTATACAAATCAATGTAGGGAGAACTGACATATAAAGTCATAAAGTCCTTCTTACTGGTTACTGTGGGACCAATATGCCAATGCCAGGGTGGCTACCATCAAAGACTAAGGGACTAGAATGATATATACCCTTGCTGGGATCAGTGAGACCACTTTGCCCCATCCCATTGACAACCTAGTTCCCACCATCTCACAATTACTCTAATTCTGGAGCCACTTCAAGGAAGACATCCAGAGTCTGTGCAGTGGGGATGGGCAGTGCTGAATTAGAACCCTCTAGGCAGTCCACCAGGAGGAGCATGGATGGCTTGTGATGCCCCTAGATGAGGACCACTCTGTTGCTGGATAACTTCGTAGGACAAGTCTCTGCCCTGAGTTCTCTGTAACATGTGTGGCAGGAGCCAGGGCCAATCCAAGTGGTAAACTTTGGGTCTTGAGAGTTCCAGCCTCCAATTCACAGCCAGTTGGCAAGGTGAGTCCAGGAAGACTTTGTTCACACCCATAGCACCCTCAGTGTTGGTTCAGCACCGAGAGTGAGGACAGGGATGGAAGCTGTCAAAATGGCACAGGTAGTAGGAGGCCTTGCCCTCTGGCTCTTCACCCATCTGGTCTCCATTAGATGAGCTGAGGAGGGGAGGGGACAGGCTCTGGGTAGAGCAGAGGGGCTGCCCTTTGGCACTGTTCTCTCTCCAAGAATGGTGACAATGAGGGAAGGCCCTTCCCCACCCCGTTCCATCTTGCCCTGGCAGGCATGCTGTAACAGTGGTCCATGGAGAGTAAGGCTGTCTAAGACACTCCTGGGGGGCAAAGTGGGGATGCCCACTGGCCTCTTTTCTGTTTCCTGTTCCTTCTCTCTGGGATGGAGTGCTTCCTTATCCACCCAACAGTCACGGCACATCTGCTGCGGATGCTGCTCTGGTCCCTGCCCCGTGGTACTTGGCATCCACTCTTCCCTGTGTTGATGGGAGACTAATCACACAGGTCTTAGGCTCCTCTGCAGCCAGAATTCTGCTAAGAAATGTAGGTGGACACCATCTTTCTGCTTCTCTGGAAGCTGACAAACCCTGAGAATGTTTGTGGCCGTAGGAGTTCATGTCCTTGGGGCTGGACACCAGCTCTGTACATGTGGGCAGTGATGGTGTTTGCAGCAGCAGCAGCAGCTCTCTGCCTTCAATTTGGCCACTGTGGTATAATCTTAAAACCAATAGTCCAGTTGTGGCCCCTGCCTTCTGCTTCTTGTCCCATGATTTAGATAAAATCCCATTCTGCTTAAGATTCCCAGAGTGCTTCCTGTTTCTGGGCTGAGCCCTAACTAATGTGGATAAGGTCATTGGACTTGAGGTCAAAAGCTACTCCTGTATGAGTGTCGTGAATCCGCCCTGGAGGGCAGAGGGAAACAGGTTGAGCACCACTGTTTGGTCATTGGCTCAGGTTTAGGCTCTGAAGAGGAATAATCCTATTGGTGGCATTCCAGCAGGTTAGGAGAGAAAATAGCAACCAGTATAAATTTAAGAAGGCAAACTGAGCCATGGCATCAAGATGTGTAAACTGGAAAAGGAGTGCAGCAGGCCAGGTGAAGAAAAGGAGGCCTTTGATGCAAAGGCAGCCAGGTAGGTGCCCCACAAGATAGTCCCCAAAGCATGCATGCCCCCAATCCCTCCCTCTGCGTCTGTGGAAGAGAAAACAAGCAGATCTGGGCATGCTGTCCTGTTGGCAACTGAGCTCAGAGTTTCTCAATGCCCCCCATCCTCCAACACTGCAAGCCTGTGAGCATCTTCTCCTTTTGGCATCTAGTCCAGACATTGCTAATCAATCACAGCATGCATACCACCACATTGCTATACAGCATCCATGGCAGACATCACTAATTGATTAGGTCATTCTTCTCAACTAAGTGTCCATTCCTTAAAATCCTCCAGAACATAGGGCTCTAGGTAGCTAGTGCCAAAAATGATTGTGGCTGATAAATAAGATGGAAACTCTGCCATCTCTATAAAAAGTGTTTGGGTTTGAGAAAGGTCATTGGTAAGTAAGGATGGGTTGTGGCAGGAGGAAGGATGTGAGCTTGTTTGGATGGGCAGAGAGAAGTCAGGGAGGAGAGGGGCATTCTCAGCAGGGGCAGAACGCAGCAGTTGTGGCATGAGGACAGAGTAATGGGGTGGTAGAGAAGCCACAAGTGCAGGCTGGTGCCAAACCATGGAATCCAGAGCCCTATGCACAGGCCACAGAGACATGTGTGAACATGTGAGCAGGGAAAGTGGTTTCACTGAAACACACACACACGTTCATCTGGCAGGGCACCCTGAGTCTCCTCATGCTGAGGGCTGGTGTCTATCTTCTGTCCATCCAGTATGACCACTGATTTTCTGTACTTTACACAGCAGCCTGGGGAGGGTAGTATAGAAGATGTTGTTAGCCCCATCCTTCCTGCAGAAGCTGAGAACAGATGGTCAGATGGGAAGTGGAGGCACAGGGGCACACCTGGGGCCATGACTGGGCCCTGCCCCTGTAGGAGGGTCCATTCCTCCCTCACCCACTCCCCTCTGACCACACTGCCCTCAGCACAGGGTACTCCCTCTGTATCACAGATCTCTTACCTTCACTGGCCATGGCTGGATGGGGGTGCCATCCCGGGCTGTGCAGCATAGAGCAGATGTGCAGGCTGCAGCTTCCTTGGCCAGCAGGTCCCAGCGGGCATTGCAGCCCAGGTTGCCTGTCGGGTCAGCCGGATCCAGGATGATGGGCCTGCAATTCCCATCCAGGGTCAGTCTTATTCCTGGCAACACTCTTGTGGGATTGGTGGGACTATTGTTTTCCTTCACCTAACACTATGCAGGGGCCAGGGGGCAAGGTTCAGAGACTTTTCAGAGCTCCAAACACACACTCTAGGGCAGGGATAGAAAATAAACTACACATGGACCACTTCTCCATTATACACCCAGGCAGACATTACCAATCCCTCTCAGTGCTACTGCTTACCCATTCTGCACACAAAGCAGGCATTATTAACCTATGGTTCTACCACTCTCCCTCCATCCATAGTATGGGTCAAGTACCTTTTATACAGAATGCCTGGGACCAGGAGTGTTTCAGATTTCAGATGTTTTTGGATTTTGGAATACTTATATTACTTACCAGTTGAGTAACTGTAAGCCAAAAATCCGAAATCCAAAATGCTCCAATGAGCATTTCTTTTGAGCATGACCTTTGAGCATCTTGTTGGCACTCAAAAAATTTTGGAGTTTGGACCATTTTGAATATCAGATTTTTGGATTATGGATGCCCAACCTGTAGATACCACTAACTTCTTAAGCTACTCTTCTCAGCTGAGCCAAATCACAGCCTCAGAATCTTTTCAATACACCATAGCAACTGTGCAGTGACTGGAGATGCATTAGGAGTCTGCCAAAGCATCTCTGTTATCTTTGTACCCATTTCAGAGGTAGGCAAAGTCCCAAAGAATAGGACATGCTTATGTTACATGGTGGGTTCACAGATGGGACTGCCAGACTTCACAAATTCAAATAAAGGATGCCCAGTTAAAGCATAATTTGATTTGAGTTTCAGTTAAAGCATAATTATGCCCCAAATATTGCATGAGACATGATTATACTAAAAAGTTATTATTGTTTATCTGAAGCTCAAATTTAACTTGGAGTCTTGCATTTTTTTCTGATACCCCTTATTCACAGGTGACCAGGAAACTTACTGCTTGTCACTTAAGTGCTAAGAATATTGCTTCTAGAAAGGAACTCAGTCCCAGAGAAGAGGGAAGAGAGTGGGTGACCCCGGATCTCTGAGACACTAAGGGTAGGCCTGAACCTGGGTTTCTGAAGCTGCCATTTCAGGAAGTCTCCAACAGTCGCATCCTCAGCATCATAGTTGATGGTCCAGTAGATACAGAGCTGGCGGTACTGGGTGACCAGCTCCAGGACTGTGCGGAAACCCTCAGCCATGTTGAACTGGGGGTCCTGTCCACCCTGCTCCCAGGCGTACACTGTCAGGAGCTCCAGCCCATGCTGGGGGGGCAGGGAGCCTCTTCCCTTGGGCATCTTGTTGCACTGGAGAATGAGGAGAAAGAAGATGTGTTGGTCCATATTGGCCAAGATAGTTGCAGGAGAGATATTTTTGGAATTGGCGAATTAACCCCCAAACTTTTATTGAGCACCTACATGTGTCAGATGCCTTGCCATACAGGCACTGTCCCATCAAATCCTGGGACATACTGATAACACTCCTGTTTTATAGGTAAGAAAACTAAGGTCCCACAGCTGGGATATAACTTTCTGCTCTACCAACCCAGGATTCTGGCCAGGGCTGGGCCCTGACTCATCACAGGCTCTAGCAGCAGAGCCCACGGCTGCAGAGGGAGGGGCCCATCCCTGTGCCGGACCTGTTGGTACCAGTGCTTCACCAGCCGGATCAGACTCTTCAGTTTGGTGGGGCGAGAGATGATGAAATCTCGCTGCAGCTCTGTGAAGCAGGTGGAGTACTCGCCTGCGTTGCTGTAGCTGTGGATGAGGTCAGCGTAGACCTGAGGGCCAGGCCGAGAGCCGGAGACCAGCTGACCTGGAGAGGGGGAGATGGTTACCACCACTCCATCCCAATAGTCCCTTTGGTGCCCACTTAGAGAGAACTTCTAGGATCACCTACTTAGACATTTCCTTAAGGGTGGTCTGGCACCCAGCTGGGAGGCCACAGGGTGTTTTTAGGTGGCATGACCCACATTAAATCCCCAGTGAGAATTGTGTTCCCTCTCCTACTCCTTTTCTATCCATCAGGAAGAAAGTTTCAGCTGGGGGGGGCAAGCATGTCTTCAACACCTCAGTAATGCTTGCTCCTCTCTCTCCCTAACAGAGAGAGAGCAGGCCTCTGTCATTAAGCCTCCTGCAGGTAACTGAACTGTGGGTAGCAAGGAGCTGACATCACTGTTCTTTCAAGTTTCATTGCACTTTAAGGCGTTTCTTAACATCTAAACTCCTGCTCTCTGAACTGAGGAACAGAGCAGATTCAGATAAATTCCCACGTGAATCCCTCCCTTGCCACTTGCTCTCTAAAACTCAGGAACCAAATATATTCAGACACAGAATTTTCTCACTCTGCGAATTCTCCCATCTAAACTCAGAACTGAAGTTAGGAAGATAATCTTTTTTGTTCCAGTCTTTATTCTTAGTGCCCAGAAGAGCACTGGACACAGAGTAGCCCATTTGCTAAACGGACTGAATGAATAGTTTTGGGGCAGGTGGAGGAGGTAGCACAAAAACACTCAAAGCTGGGGATGTGCTGAGACACTTCAGTGTCCTCACTGTCAGATAAAGGCACTGGGGCTCAGGGTGGGAAAATCCCTGCTCAAGGTCATCTAGCAGGCTGGTGGAATTGCTGGGACTAGAAGCCAGCATGGGGCCATTGTTAGCCTAGTTAGCATATTTGTGTGAATTAGAAAGAGGGGCTTTGCAGCAAAGTTGTGATAAACATACATATTTATAATGCCTGTGATGTGCACGGATGTGGCCGAGTTGTGCACTACACAACCTCTACAACTGTCCACGATGACCCCACTTCTGCTCTTCCCCTTCTCAAGCCTGTGTGTGGGCACCTCACCTAGGGCATCAAAGGCTGGCAGCACATCAAAGTCCACACTCTGGTCCAGCATTGTCCGGGATGTCAGTGAGAAGCTCAGCACACGGGGATTCTCCCATTTGGAGACCTCGAACTTCACCTCGAACTGCTGCTCCCGCTGACATGCCTCCAACTGGGCTCGGATCTCTGAAATGATCTCAGCTCGCTTGTTCCCCTGCTCGGTGAAGTGACTGAAGCAGCTGAGGAACACCACTAGATCAGCGTCAGAGCGGCCTCGTAGAGCTGTGCCTTTGGCTGAAGAGCCACCCTGGGGAGGACAGGGCAGGTGGCTTGAACTTTGAGATGTGGCTTGGGATCTTTCTGCCTGTGGACTCTGGATTCTGAGTTAGAAAACATGCTGTGTGACCTTGGGCAAGTCACCTAACCTCTCCGTCTTACATCTTGAAGATGGCATGGTTGTAAAAGAAAGAAGCATACAAGAGATAAGTTTAAATGCTTTGACAAATGCAAAATTTTTCATTTCATTACGTTTGGGGAGGGGGGATTTTAGAGTTTTGTTTGTTTTGTTTTTATAGGCATGTGGTTCTCAAGTCTGTCTTCACTCGGAGAGCATTTATAAACGACGTATAGCTGGCTCTGGTCCCCTGCCATTGTGATTTAATTTTACTTAGGATGGGGCTTGGGCATCAGTATGTTTTTAAAAAACCTCTGTGATTCCAGGGTGAAGCCTGTAAAGCCAGGTTTAAGAACCAATGAGCCAAGCCACCTTCAAGTATTATGGGTGGAGAAGGTTAGGATCAGAGACGGTAAAGTATTTACCTAGGGTCACACAGGAAATAAACAGTCCTGGGCCCTTAAACTTAGCTGATTCTGTGTTAACATCCTTTCTGGAGTTGACCTGGGTGTCGCTTTTGTCTCTCCAGTTGTGGACTAAGGTTTCATCTAGTACAGTGGATGATGTGACTTCTTGAATACCCCTGGCATCCTCACCTGGGACCAGCGTCCTGGTTTTCTTTAGCGGGACCACCCCTCCCCCATACTCCACCCATGCTATCTAGGTAGAGCTCACTTTGTCAAGTGGCCCAGGCTTGACCACACAGAGCATGATGTCTCCCTAACCCTACTGACTGGCTTGTAGGGAGGTGTGTTACCCAAGCCATCCCAATAAAACTCAATTCTAAGAGTTTTATTTGAATTTTGAGAAAAGAAAATCCCCCTTTCTGGAAGCTGAGATTTGCTGAGGACTACCATGTGCTAGGGCCTGTCCCAGATGTAAAACCCAGAGCCAAGAAAAAGAAAGGCTGAGCCCCTGATGATGCTGTGTAGGTTCCTGGATCTGGCTATGCCTGAAAGCATATCTAATCCATCCAGAGCTTTCCATTTACATCTGTCAGTATATTCCTTTGTTGACTCTTTTGAGTTGGGTCTCACTAGCAACCAAAAGAGACTTGTTGGACACACCTGGGCTCTCCACCTGCCATCCGCCCAGGACCACTTTCTGGATCTTGACTGGGCCAGGGCTGGCCTGGGAGAGATCACCAGCCTACAGGACACTGTAGCAACCAACAGTGTAGTGTACCCTACACTGTAGTGTAGGGTCTCACCAGCAACCAAAAGAGACTTGTTGGACACACCTGGGCTCTCCACCTGCCATCTGCCCAGGACCACTTTCTGGATCTTGACTGGGCCAGGGCCAGGCCTGGGAGAGATCACCAGCCTACAGGACACTGCTTGCCTGAAGCTCTCTGGGGACTCACCTTGACCACTTTAATCACTTTGATGGGAGAATTCTGGAAGCAGTTTTCCCTCAGGAATGAGCAGATGGTATCCACAGCCTTGTTCACTTGAGTCAGGAACTGGCGGTTGGGTTGGAGAAATTCACTGATGAACTTGTCAAGGTCTCCTGCTGGGGTTTGGTAAAGGAGCGCTGGCTGCAGAGAAAATCCAGGTAGGGCAAGCTGAAGACAGGACTCTCAATGAATACCCAAGCCTAGTCCCTTGCTATCCTCTGAGGACAAGGATCCCACTATCTCCCATGTTTCCCTTTTCTTCTCAGTTGTTTGGTAATTTCTGATGTAGCTTCAGAAGGATCCATGTTCAAGTTTTGGTTCCACTGTCCCTACATGGCCTCAGTTTCCCCATCTTTAAATGGTGCATAATGAGGACCATGTCTTCCTGATTGTCTTGAGTGTTAAGCACTGGTTATGAGACCCTGCTACAAAACAGCAGACATGATACAATCATATCCCTTTGGGATCTATACATGGCTTATGTCCTAGATAGATTTCCCTAGAAGCAGTGTCTGTGTGGGAATTCTTGTGCACATAATTAGTTGGGCCAGGGCTCGCAGGAGAAGAGGAATGAGGGCAGCAGGGGAGGGTGGAGACGAAGCTTAGTAGAGCTGGGGACAATCTGTTGACTGATCTCATAGAAATCCCCAAAGCCCGAATTGAATCAGAGCATCGATCCTGCCTTGAGATAGAAGTGGGCCTTCTGTACCCTTGTGTCACTCAGGTACAATAGTAATCTGCCTCATGGAAGGCAAGTCTCCAGAGAAGGGGACAGCTGAAAGCTGGTGGCAGCCAAGGCTCCAGGCAGCCAGGGGTGCATGCACGATCAGGTCAAGGGGACCTGGGAGGAGGGCACTGTCAGTGCCCACCACCCCAGGGCCCTGCCTCTTACCATCACATCCCAGGGCTGCACAGGTGTTCCATCTCTACTTGTACAGCAGGTCTGTGTCCCCAGTGCTGCTGCTTCCTGGGCCAGCAGCTCCCAGCTACCCTGGCCCACATTCCAGGTGGGGTCAGCAGGGTCCAGCACCAGGGGCCTGGTGGCAGAGCAGGTGGGCAGGTGGGTGGGGAAGAGGAGAGTTACTGAAGGAGCAGGTGGTGGGAGGACTGGGAAAAGTGTCAGGATCTCAGGGTTGGCCCAATCTTGCCCAAGTAGAGACGGGGTCCCCCAACTGGCTGTCTCAGCAGAAAGCCATTAGGTGGCCCTTTACGTTGAGAAGCCATATAATATTTTATCGTACTAATAAAACTGGCCCTGGATTCTTTTGGGACTCCTTGTGTCCACACTTCCTCAGCAAGGAGTCCAGAGGAAAGCAGAGTGAACGTTGATATTGCTGAACCAAACTTCACCTTGGACCCCTCCTGGGTGACTTGACTCCAGGGTGACAGAAGGGAAGGAGAACGGTAATGAAGATGGGTGAGGGGAAGTGGGTCTGCACCTGGATTTCCAAAGTTGGCCAAGAAGATGTGTCCTCAGAGCTGGGTCTTCAATGCTATAGTTGACTGTCCAGTAGACACAGAGATGCTGATAATTTTGGACAAGCCCCAGGACAGTCTGGAGGCCTTCAGCCATGTTGAAACGGTCCATCCCACAGCCCTGCTCCCAGGCAAAGATGGTCAAGAGTTCTAGGGCATAGGCTGGGGGCAGAGAGGCACAGGCTGGCCCTTTTCCTTTGTTCTGAGCTGCAACCTGTGTCATACAAGGCCAACAAAAGATCAGGGTGCATGAGCACCTGCTGTGTGCAAGGAATGACCTTGAGCCCTCGGGGAAGGAGAGGAGCATATAAAGCAGAAAGGACAGAAACTTAAAGGTGGCCTAGCTGACGCTACTCATTGTATATACAGGTGAGTAAACTGGGTGAGGTCTAGAGGAGGATACAACTTGTTTGAGATCATATGGTGAAATGGAAAGCTCAGACATGGCTTTTGACTACTGTCTCCTCTCAAGGAGGGTATGTATAGGAATAGGAACTGGAATGTATCCAGCTTGTTCTCCCAACACCCATCACAACAACAGTTAGCAGTAGTTGGTGCTTGGTAGATGTTTGCTGAACAAGTAAATGCATGAATGCAAGTTGCCATTCAGGGAAATGCGTAGTAAAGGATGTTCAGAGTTTAGTATGATTGCAAAGATGTGATGTTGGGAACAGCACCAGCAAATGCTTGCAGGTGGGAGAAAACATTAACAGTGTGGAAAGAGAGGATCAACAGGCTTGAGAGGGACAGCTACAAGAAATGAAGACTTTGGACTTAATGGAAAAGAAATTCTCTCTCCTAGTAGCTTCCATTTCTGTGGACAGGAAATGGATGATGGAAGAGGCAGTACTTCCATTTTGGATGGCCAATAAGATGTAAAGGACGGGAGACACTGGTGTAAGAGAGAGGATCTGATTGTTTGAGGCAATTTCCATGCTAGTACCTGCTTCCCTGGAGGAACCCTGGGGTATTCACCTGGTGGTACCAGTGTTTTACGAGCAGAATCAGGTTCTTCAGCTTGACTGGGCGGGTGTTCACAAAGTTCCTCCTTAACTCCACGAAGCAGGCTGCATGCTGACCCTCCCGGCAGCCACTTTTGAGGAGGGTTGAGTAGACCTGGGGATTAGGTTTGTTGCCAGAGTTGGGCGGCCCTGTGGAAATTTGAAACACTCTGAGTGTGTGGCTCTAATTCAAGACAGCCGCATTTACCATTTCATCCATTGACCAGCCTTTTAAAATTAATCACATAACATTGGCCAATGATACACCATGACATTAATAACAATCAGAACTATCATTTTAAAACATTAATTATGTATTAGGTGCTTTTTGATAATTTTTGCCAATCCACCCAATAACTTTATAAGGTAGACAATCTTGATCCCAGAAAAGTGCATAACACAATGGTTAAGGGAATGAGTGCTGTAGACAAAGAACCCTGTTCATAGACAGATTGTGTGATTTTGCCTTTTGGGATCTAGTTTCCTCAACCTGTAAAGAAGGGGATAATAAATAGCACCAACCTATTCTAAGAGTCAAATGCAATCTACACGTAAAGCGCTTAGAATACATGGTATTCAAGAATAATAATAATAACAAGCAGTAAGTATTGCTTTGGATAACTATTGTTGTCATTTCCCAGAAGAAAAAAAATCAAGGCATAAAGAGGAAGCTTGAATCAATTCCCACCCCTCCTTTCATAAGACTGGCCTCTGGAATAAAAGCCTTCTCCATGAAAAATGACTAGAAAAGGTCACCCACCAGCAGACAGAGGCTTCAAGGAAGCCTGCTGCCAGAGCTCTGAGAAACTGAGACCCAAGGGCTATGCTACATGTGGGCATGAAGTCCAACCTTACAGCATATGCATGGTGAAGAAATCCCGGGCTGTTCAATTAATATATAATCTGGCCTGGGAATTAGTGAAACTCTTGGAGCTCAACTAGGAAAAAATAAAAGCTCTGTTCCTTGAGGGATGTTTCTCCAACCCAGAGCATAAGGAGCTTCTACAGGAAAGGAGAGACAATCTGCACATACCCCAAGAATGAGCTCATGATAAAAAATTACAAAGTGCATGAGGAAATGATCCACTATAAGGGAGAGTCAGCAGACACAACAAATAGAAAAACTAACACTTCAAGAATTTGAGATAATAGGACAATTCAAGAGATTAAAAAAGCATGTTTAAAATTACTAAAGAGAGAAAAGAAACGGAAACCACAAAGAATTGATAACCATGAGCCGGTAAGAGGTTGATCTGAGAAAAAGCCAAATAGAACGTACAAAGGTAAAAAATAAAGTCATTAAAATTAAAGATTGATAAAGGATGAAACACATTGAAAGACAGTTAGTAAACTGGAAGATAGATAGATCTGAGCGACCGAGAAACAGGAAGCCCTGAGAGGTGAAGAGATGGGAACAATGACAGAGATGAAAAGATGTGGAAGATGGAGAGAAAAACCATCCTAACAGGAGTTCCGGAACCGGAGAACAGAGAAAATGGAAGAGAGGCAAGATTCGAAAAGACACTGGAAGACATTTTTCCAAAACTAAAGGAAGAATTGAGTTCTCAGATTCAGGAAGCACAGCATATTCTAAAAAAGATCAATAAAAAGAAATCCATAGGCAGATACATCAAAGAGAAACTGAAGCATACTATAAACCAAGAGAAAGTCTTAAAAGCCACCAGAAGGGAAATAAAAAGGTGAACAATCAACCCCTCCCCCTACACAAACAGAAGACAGACCATTTACAAAAAAAAAATTAAATAAATAACATAGAACAGACTTTTCATCAGCAATAACAGAGGTCTAAAGATGGTAGATCTGGGGAAAACAAGGGTCAAACACTTCATTCAAGTATGAAGGTGAGACAGAAAGAATTTTAGACCAAGTCTGAGAAAATATATCACTCATAAACCCTTGCTGGAATTGAGCTAAAGATGTATTTCTGTGAAATAAAAAAAAAAAAAAAAGTCCAGAAGGAAGAACTGGAAATCAAGAAGCGATGGTAGAAAACATCATTAATTATGGTCATAGATTTACTTTGTATAGACAAAAATAAAAAAAGCCAAAAGAAAGAATCTCTATTATTAGCATCTGGTATGTTAGTTCCGATATATTGTCAACCCCTTGAAAATAATTGTATTAGTGGTGTTTGTTTCCTTTTTGACTTTAGCTTTATGCTACCTATAAAAGGCACAATTAAATTTAGTAACACATCCTTAAAAATATAGGATGGAAAAGGTATACCAGGAAAATACTAACAAAAAGGCTATTACAGCTCTATTAAATCAAAGGACTCTAAGACAAATAGACTTTTCAAAAATAATGAAGATTATCACTTAATGATAAAAAGACCAGTTCAAGAAAATATAATAATTCTAATAATTCTGAATAATATAGCCCCAAATATTAACAGCAAAACTTTCCAGAATTACAAGGAGAAATGGACAATGTCCACACAGAGCTGATTTTAAGATACTCGATTCAAGAACTATGAGATCAGGCTCGGCACCTGTGGCTCAAGTGGCTAAGGCGCCAGCCACATACACCTAAGGTGGTGGGCTTGAATCCAGCCCAGGCCCACCAAACAACAATGACGGCTGCAACCAAAAAATAGCCAGGCATTGTGGTGGGTGCCTGTGGTCCCAGCTACTTGGGAGGCTGAGGCAGGAGACTTGCTTGAGCCCAGGAGTTGGAGGTTGCTATAAGCTGTGATGCCACAGCACTCTACCCAGTGGGACAGCTTGAGACTCTGTCTCAAAAAAAAAAAAAAATTATGAGATCAAATGAAAAATTAATAATTTAGATCTGAGAAAAAAACATAAGCTAAATCTAAAAGAGTTACGTGGAAGCCTGCATCCTGCACGGAACACATGCATTCTTTTCAAATATGGGTAACCTGGTAAGTGCCAACAAATTCCAAAGAACTGATATCACATAAAGAATATTTTCTGACTATGATAATAAAAAAGTAAATGCCAAAAGCAAACAAGTGAACAAAAGCTCAAAACACTCATCTGGAAGCTCATTTCCAAATATTCATGGATAAAATAACAAATTATAATGTCATAATTAAAAGTACAAACTATTTAGACGTGAATGATAGTAAAAAATTATTCAAATCTAAACATGTGCCAATTACCTGATGGGATTGAAAGGGAAGTTTATAGCCTTAATTACATTTACTAAGTTGGGCAGTAAATTCCCCTAAAATAAGGAAAAAAAACTATAATACAAAATGTCTAAAAAACAAAACAAACAAAAACCCCCCAAAAAACAAACCCCCAAACTAAGCAGATATGTTAAACTGTTAAAATTTGTTAAATCTTAATCAGGGTACCTGGATGTGTAATGTCTGTAGTTTTCTGTGGATTTGAATAATTTCATAATTAAACACTTTGTAAAGTTGAAAGTACTAAATAGTTAATGATTTGATAGTGATGTTTACTCAAAATATCTGAAAGTAGTTTTCAGTACTTGGTTGAATAGGGAATTAGGATCACAAAGAGGATGACAGATGATGGTTGGTACCACCCCCACCCCTCTAGATGCTTCCTGGTCCCCTGGGGTTCTCATCACTCTCCAAGGCCTAGGCTGGGCACCCCTCACCCACGGCATCAAAGGCAGGCAGCAAGCTAACATCTATCCGGCTTTCCAGGGCCGTGGACATGAGCTGGAACTGCAGCGTCTCAGGAGCATTCTGCTCAGGAAAACTAAGGCTCAGGCTGGGGACCTGGAGCTGCCACCAAGATTCCAGCTGCATCCGAATCTCATCAAGGATCTCCCTACTGCGGGTCCCCTGGTCCTTGTAGTTGGTGAAGCAGGTGAGGAAGATGATGAGTTCGACATCACAGCTGCCCTTTAGGTCTGTGCCCCGGCCAAATGAGCCCCCCTGTGGAGAGAAGAACAGTTCAAACCACTGACCCTCTAGGAGCCCAGGAGTTAAAGACTATGATCCCATCAATCACACCCATCTGCAGCCTGGAAACCACTCCCTTGCTGATGTCAGATCCAGGGCACCACAACAAAAGAGGAGAGATAATTAACTGCCTTGGGACCGCTGGCTCTCAGAAGCAGGCATCTACCTGTACTTGCCTTCTGATCCATGCAGCCTGAGAAATGTCAGGCCAGTTCACAGCTACAGATAACCAGGGCACAGGAGAGGTAGGGATCAGATGTTTTAGCCAAATGTCTGCAGCACCACCGGACTGCACATCTGGACTACCAGTTGCAAATTGGGGTCCTAGGTCTAAATGGGGCCTGCAGATTCCTCTCCCCCTATACTTACGCCTTCCCTTCCCCATCTCCTTCCTTCCTTTCTTCTTTCCTTCCTTTCTGCCTGCCCGCCTGCAACAAATACTTACTGAGCACTTACATGTGCTCACACTAGAACATGTGTGAGTGGAGCAAAGATTTCTGCTCCCCTGGAGCTCACATTCTAGCTAAGGAATGGGGAGAGAGGAGGGCCAGTAAACAACAGCTCCTGAGAAAATGCTAAGTGTTGTGCAAACACAGCAGGACGGGGACTGGGAATGTGAGACTGCATTTTTTTGTTTTTTTTAAATCGTGTGGTCAGGCTTTAGTGGAAGGAAATCTGGATCGAGGACCTAAAGGAGGGTAGAGAGAGAGCCAAGTGGATGGAGAAGAGCATTCCAGGACGAGAAAACAGACAGGGCAGAGGCCTTGACCGAGCATGTGGGCCTGTTGAGATCAGAGCAGCCAGCAGGCCAGTGTGGGCCCAACCTTACAGGCCTAGAAGCCACTGCACTCAATGAAACTGTGGAGGATGTTGAGCTAAGGGAAAGTGATCTGATTTTTGTAATAGTGATTTAAAAACGCTATCATTTAAAAAAAAATAAAAAAGCTAGCGCTTAAATATATTTTATTTAAGCCAGCAAAGCACCTGTCTATGGCAGACCAGTTCCCCCCAGCTGGGATTCAGATATGTTGCTCTAACTCCTTCCCTTCCCCAGTGTGGTGCCTTACGGGTCCCATCCATGCCTCCACCTGCCCAACGTACCTTGCCGACTCTCGAGACCTTGTGAACACAGTTCTCACGGAGGCAGCGCAATATGACATCGATGGCCCTTTTCACCTGCTCCTGGAACTGGGGGCTTGGCTTCAGGTGGTCTTGGATAAAGCGGTCCAACTCCTTGGTGGGGATCTGAGACAGATCTGAGACTGTCCTGGACATAGAGGGGGCAATGCTGGCTGTCCTTGAAGGGACAGGAGCTGGGGATGAGGGTGGTTTACTCCTTGCCCTTAGATGCCTGGGATCAAGGATCTTGCAGTCTTCAAGTGTCCCCGGGTTAGGGTCTCGCTGGATGTGGTGGTCCAAACCTGAGCACCCAGCATGCGGAAGGCCCTGGAAGGTCGTTGAAAGAGCTGCCTCACCCCAATGCAGAGGTTTCTATGTCCTCCCAGATCCCTCTCTCCTTAGCTCCCACCCTCTGTATAAACAGGGAGACTAAGGCTCAGACATGGGAAATGGAAGGGTTGTGGCTGACCTTCATGGCATCTTTGTGCAGATTCAGAAAAGGTTTTTTTCTAAAGGGGGATAAACTGCAAAAAGGGGCCTCGGGCCTCTTTTGGTGGGGGGGAAAGCTTGGTTAGCAGCCTATAGCTATGGAAAGATGAAGGTGCATCTTCACCCAGGCAGCTAAGATATTAGACTGTTCTGTATGCTGGCTGACCCTGCCTTTCAACTCTGTTCCACTCTGCATGGCCCCAGGCACAGGAGATGCTCAGGAAACACTGAACACGTAAATTTAGTCCTGGGGAATCCCGCCCCCCAACTCACCATCACCTGCCAGGGCTGCACAGGGGCTCCAGGCCCCTGCAGAAAGCATGGCTGGTCATAGCAGGACTCTGCCTCCTGGGCTAGCATATCCCAGTGCCAGGCGGCCCCATTCCCCACATCCCATGTGGGGTCACATGGGTCCAGAATCACAGGCCTGCAATTCCAGAAAGACAAGAAGGCTCTGGTTAACAAGAAGGTCAAGATCAGGGGGTCTGGAGTCAAGCAACCTGGATCCAATCCCAACTCTGCTCCTTTCCAGCTGTGACCAGGCAGATGCCTTACTCTCTCTGGGCCCCAGGTTCCTCATTTGCAAAATGAGGGTAACAATAATGCTTGCTTTGAGGGGCTCCTGTAGAGAGTAACTTGGTGCAGTGGCCCTCATCCCTGTCTGCACCTTGTAATCACAAGATACTCGGATCCAGCCCCAGTGACTCTGAGCTGCACCCCATGACTTAGCAATTTCATTCCTAGGTATACACCCAATAGATATGCACACGTGAACGCCTGTTTATAACAGCCTGGTCTGTAATAGCTCCAAACTGGAAATAACTCAAACATCCATCATCAGTAGAATAGACAACATGTGGTGATGAATTCACACAGTGAAATACTACACAGCAAAGAAACAGGACGCACAACTTCACGGATGGATCTCAAAGACTTAATGCTGAAAAAGAGAAGCCAGATGTGAAAGTGGGTGTTATTCAATTCCATTTAAGATTTAAGAAAGTGCAAAACTGTAATGACAAAAGTAAAAATTGGGTTATTTGGGGGGGTCATTAACTGGGAAGGGCCCACTGGGGTGCTAGAAATATTCTATCTTGGTTTGGCTGCTGGTTTCACAGTTACATGACCTTTGAGACAGTCATCAAAACGTGCTCTTTAGAAGTGCCTGTTACACATCAGTAAAACATTCATGTACAAAACACATGGGCTGGGCACCAGTATATATTTTTTGTTTTTGTGAGATATAGTTTCACTCTCTTGCCTAGGCTAGAGTGCAGTGGCATCATCATAGCTCACTGAAACCTTAAACTCCTAGACTCCAGTGATCCTCCTGCCTGGGCCTCATGAGTAGCTAGGACTATAGGTGCCTGTCACAATGCCCAGGTGGGATTTTTTTGTAGACACAGTGTCTCAGTCTTGCTCAGGCTGGTCTCAAACTCCTGATCTCAATCGAGCCTCTCACCTCAGCCTCTCAGAGTGCTAGGATTATAGATGTGAGCTACCACACCCGCACTGGTGCCACTAGTTTTAAAAACTCTCACAGGAGTTTCTAATGTGCATCTGGGGCTGGAGCCACTGAACTGGAATGTGCAGGTGCCGCATTTGGCTCTGGCCCACACCCAGGCCTTGAAGTAGACAGCACCAATTTTATCAATGTTAATTATCTCTCCCATGGCCCAGGGGCAGGAGAGTGAGTGATGGGGTGTTAGGAGGTACCTGGGTCTTTTAAGCTGTCTCTGCAAGAACTGCCCAACAGCAGGGTCCTCAAAGCTGTAGTTGATGGTCCAGAAGACACAGAGGTGCTGGTACTGTTGGATCAGGCTCAGGACAGTCCGGAGGCCTTTGGCCAAGCTGAAGGCATCCTCCTTGCAGCCCTGCTCCCAGGCAAAGATGGTCAGCAGCTCCAGGGCATAGACCGGGGGCAGCATCTCCTTCTTTGCCTGCTGCGCACACACCTGTGAGAGGGCAGGAAAGAGTGCTCAGAAAGATAAATGGGAGGGAGGAGAGCTGACTCTGCAGAAGCAGTCTAGGGACCCTGTAGGCTGAGCCTGGACAAGATACTGGGTCGCAAACCTGTTCCAAGGGCAAGTGGCCTTTCCCATCTGCCCTCACTGCTGGAGCCACTAAAGTGATTGGCTTATATGATGGGAGAGAGAGAGGGAAGAGTTTCAAATCCCCAGGAGAGAAAAGCAGTCAGAGGGCAGCCAGTGGGTAGTCTGAAACTGCCCCCAGAAGAAGGTGAGGCAGATCTGGGGTTCCAGATGGATGGTTGATTGGAAAAGATGGGTAGCTTGGTACCCAAGAAGGAGACCAGGTCATCCTCTTGTCACTCCTGGAGTATGGGGGGTGCAGCAGACCAGGGATCTATCTGTCCTTCTAGCCTCCTGGCCGCCATCTTGACACACATGATTTCTGTCTCTGCACCATGTACCTGACATCTCCACACACCAGATGGGGCTTAGTCCACAGCGACAATGCCAGGGCTTTGGACAACTCAGTAGGGGACACTTCAGGTTGCCAGAAGGTGACCTGTCTGGCTGGAGACACCCAGCAGCCCCACACTCCCTCTGAAACAAGCTTGGATACAGCCACCACCCAGATCAAGATAGAATATTTCTAACACCTAGGAACGTTGGCTCCATAGTTTGTCCTTCTATTAATAAGTACTAGACTATTAGTATTTTCTGCCCCTGGAGAATCTTATTTCTGGGAAGAACCTGAGAAAGATTTATAGACTCATACTCCTTTATGTGCTCTGGAGGAAACAGAGGTCCAGAGAAGAAAAGAATCTTGCCCAGAGTCACACAGCAAGAAGGTGGCTGACCCAGAACTGGAATCTGGAATCTCCTCATGCCCAGACCTGCTTATGATGAGTGGTCCAATGAAAGGTCCCAGTCATGTGACTTGAGATTTTTGGGGGGGCTTGTTCTCTCTGCTCCAGGGGGGCATTCCTGAAGCTGGGGCAGAAGGTATGCAAATTCCACATTACCTCATAATAAGATATTTCAGATAGATCAAAACCCTTTAGATGAAAATCAATATGAGAAGCAACATGATGGAAGAAAATAGGGGAAAATATTTTAGAAAATAATGATAGGGAAAGACTTCTTAAGACACATAAAGAGCAAATCATCTAAAAAAAGATTAATATTTCTGATTACTTTAAAATTCAAATATTTTTAGTGACAAATGACAGTTAAAGCAAAAGCACCAGCCACAGACTGGAAGAATACATTTGAACTATATTAACTAAATATGCATTAACATCCTCAATATATAAAGAGCTTCAACAAATCAACAATAAAAAGATAGCTAACCTCTCCAAAAAATAATAGACAAAGGACACAGACTGGTAATACCCAGAAAGAGAACATGAATGGCCTCTAAATATAAGAAAATACTTTCATTATTATTATGAAGTAACAATTCAAAGTCTTGCCTGAAGTAAGGACCCTCCCAAGTGGCTTCACCTGGCGGTACCAGTGCTTCACAAGCAGGATCAGGTTCTTCAGCTTGGTTGGGCGAGTGTTCATGAAGTTCCTCCGCAGCTCAGCAAAGCAGGCTGCATGCTCACCCTCCTGGCAGCCACTATTGAGGAGAGTAGAGTAGACTTGGGGCTTGGGTTTGCTGTTGGAGGTGAGCTGCCCTGTTGGTGTGAAGATGTGTGAGTTAGGAAGGGTGCTGAGGACACAGGATGGAGCACAGTGTTGGTGCTGAGCTTCGCATGGGACACTAGAAGACAGTGGAAAGAATTTGGAGCATCTGGAAAATCTTGCAACATGGGAACTGGGGGACTGGGAAGAGAATCTGAAGCTTTGAGGGAGGCAGGGAAGAAAAGCTGCATTCCAGAATGAAGCAGGAGGTTCTCTTCCTCCCCAGGGGCTAGGCAGTCCATAGGACCCTGGTTCTAAGAACAGTATATAGCCCTGGCTATTCTCTCCTTCCTGAGGCTCCCTCAGGCAATACCAAAACACCACTATACATATCCTTATTTAATTGGTGCCATGGGGAGAGGAAAACAATGCTGGAGAAATACAAGGCAAGGGGTATTTTTGAAGCACATACTACATACTAGGTATTGTGCTGAAACTTTTACATGTATCTTTTCACTCTATCTCCACCAAAACCTTACAAGGCAAGCACAATTTTTCATCCTGTTTTTACAGCAGAGGCACAACGAAATTGCAAGTTTTGCCCAAGGTTATATGGCTGCCAAATGATGGAGTCAGGATTCGAACTCAGAGCTGGCTGACTTCACAGTGGGTGTCTTTTCCTCCACCACTCCCATGGACATGGCTTGGGGAAAGTAAGCACTGTCCATAATTTTGGAGGTTGTTGTTACCTGCGTGTGTGGCTTTGGGTGAGTTTCTGTGTGTCTCTGTGCCTCAGTTTCCCCACTGGTAAAACTAAACTGATATTAGACTAAACAGTACAGATTCATAGCTTTGTTATGAAAAATCAAGGAGATAAAACATGTCAAGGTCTTGGAATATTTAAGCATTTAATAAATAGTAACTAGTATGATTAATGAATGAGTGCCCAGTGAGTGACTAATACTAGGCATGGGGGAATATGACTGCCTGTGTAAAGGATAAAGCTATCCCCTCCTCACCCCGGAGCAGTGGTCCCCAATCATTTTGGCACCTGGAACTGGTTTCGTGGAAGACAATGTTTCCAGGAGGGGGCGGGTCTGATAGGAGGAGGAGCTCAGGTAGTGATGTGAGCGGCTGTAAACACAGATGAAGCTCTGCTGGCTTGGCGCCACCCCCCTTGCTTCCTGCTCTGCAGCCCAGTTCCTACCAGGCTCAGACTGGTACTGGTTCTCAGCCTGGGAGTTGAGGACCATTGCCCCAGAGTATCAAGGAAAATAATAATAGAAACAATAACAACAATAATAGAAATAATAACAGCAAACACTCATACAACCCTTATCAATTGCTAGTACTCTTTTAAGTTCGTTACACATTTTACATTTAATTCTTCCAATAATTCTATAAGATAGATTACTATTATCCCTAATACTATTATCCTCATTTTTTAAAAAATCAGGACACAGAGCAATGTTTTTATATTACATAAAGCATGGATAAATTAGGAAGGAGAATGCAAAAATCATACTAATGATTTCATGTTTTCAAAATAAAATACAGGATTTTGCAGCATTCTGGTCTTGTCCCCAACCCCCTGCTGCTGGCCACACAGCCACTTGCTTTTGTCTTTGGGGAATTTGTGGAAGGGCCAAGTAGTATCACTCTAGGCAGTGGCTGAAGGAAATTCCAAGATGCTTGGGTGAAGACCAAGTCTTGATACCAGGACCACAGATCCAGAGGAACTAGGTCTTCTTGATCTTTCTCTGGTCCAAACCCAATTATGTTTAGTCAAGAATCTGAGGCTCAGGGAGGGGCAGAGGTCACACAGGAAGTCAATGGTAGTGCTAGAATCAGAAGCTCTATCTTGTTCTCAACGATCCTGCCCCCAACCCTGGAATGGGATAGGACCTCCTCACCCAAGACATCAAAAGCGGGCACCAGGCTAACATCCATCCAGTTTTCACGATCTGTAGATGCCAGTCGGAACTGCAGTGCCCCGGACATGCCCTGCCCAGCAAACTCAAGTCTCAGACCAGGGACTTGGGGCTGCCACCAGGATTCCAGCAGAGCCTGCATGTCCTCGAGGACCTTTGCACGGCGGGTCCCCAGGTCCTCAAAGCTCTTGAAACAGTCGAGGAAAACGACAAGTTCAAAATCACAGCCACCCCTGAGAGCTGTGCCTCGGCCAAAGGAACCTCCCTAGGAAGAAAAAAAAAAACAAAACAACAACTCAGAATTTCATATTCTCCTATTCTAGGGCCCACCAGGCTGGCTGGCAAACCAAGTGAGGTAAGTGGGTTAGGCGGAGACTATGGCCACATAGCTCTAGGAACTAAAGCAGCCAGGCCAGAGTTTTTTTAGAAGCAATTTTAATACATAAAGCTATGTTTTAAAAATATTGACAACTAACTTTAAAAAAAAATCAAAAACTGCAGGTAAAAGCAAATCCTGGTTTGCAGGGCACACATTTGCAATGCTTGCTCAGGATGGGTGCAAAACTGTGGTAAGGTTCTCTGAATTTCCAAGACCTTTCTCGTGAGTGTTTCTTTCCTCAAAGCTTCCTGCCTGAGGATTTGCGAAGGAAGCACTGTCAGAGCTTCTGCTCTGTGCTTAGTTTCTGACACCTGTGATCTCACTTTCAACACGTTACAGCGCTGATGTGGTTACATATGGTTACAGACCTGGGGGAGTGAGGCTCAGAGCTGTGAAGTGAGTTGCAGTCTGTAAACCACAAGAACCAGGATCCAGCCTTCTGGGAGCAAGTCGTGCCTTATACTGGGACCCCCGATTATCACAATGATTATGCCAGTCTCTTTATTTCCAGCCCCCAGTTTGGGAGCTGAAGACAAAGTGGGAACTGGCATGGAAGAATCTCCCAGGCTGATCATCTACAAATTTCGTGCACAACCTTCTCATTTAACCTTCTAACATCCTGGAAGGAAGTACTATGATTACATTCACTTTACAAAGCAGGATCAAAAGCACAGGGAGCTTGTCACTTGCTCATGAGCCCTGCCCCCACCAGGCCAGGCACGGCCATGACTTGGGGATGGAGGAGAGAGTCAGGCTCCAAACAACCTTTCTTTCTCTCCCATATATTCTTTAATTTACTTGAAAATTGCTTTTTATTATAAAGTTTTTCAAACCTATGCAAAAGAAGAGAGGATTTTAAAGAAGACTTTTGCCACATTTGCCCATCTGTTTTCCGTACCTCCTTTCCTTTTTTTGTGTGTGATTTTAAAAGAAATGCCATTCAATGTGTCATATCACCCACATACACTTTCACGGGCACGTCTAAAATAGTGTTTCTCAACTGTAGGCAACTGTGTCCCCATGGGACATTTGGCAGTGTCTTTTGGGTAGTGCTGACTGGGGCAGGGGGGTTCGTATTGGCTCTGGGGGAGGGGTTAGTTTAACACTGTGTCAGAGGTTTGTGGCCCCCTTCTGGTTTCTCCAACCTCAAGTCTCACACTCATCTTGTATATCACACAGTATCCCTAGAATCTCCCATTCCTTTGAGGAGCTTGTTCAGTGGCAAATGCATCTCTAGACTATAGATGGAACCAGCTCCATAAGCAAGGAAACACTTTAGAATAATTTTTTTGTGGCTCGCTTATGTTTCGGGTTCTCAGGCCAGTAAGAATTGCTGGCCAGAACTTTTGTCAGTTTCCGCTGCACTGAGGCATTTCCTTTTGAGTTTCTTGCCCAGGAACAGTGGGACCTCCTTATAGTCATGAGACAATGATAGAGCCTTTCATCACCTGTTTGTCCAGAAAAGACAAGGTAAGTGACTTGCCACCACAGATTGTGCCCAAGGACCCACTGAGCCTGTGCACAAGGCTGCAAGAATGACCAGTACTAACTCCTAGCTCATTATGGTACTAAAATCCCCACCCTGGGAGGGACTTATCCATCATATTTTGTTCATGGGATGTATGTACCAGCATGATTTTTATAACCCCCCCCCCCATTTGAGGCATTTCATGCCACTCCCTCCCAGCAGATGCGTCTCCTGCAATAAATGCTTTTTTCCTTGACAGTCCTCATTGTCTCAGTCATCGGCTTTCTGTGTGGTGAGCACCACGAGCCCTCCCCCTTGTGGCTTCATTAACATAGTGTGGGCTCAGGAAATAAAGCCCACAGTTCTCTCCACTTGCCACTTTCTCTAAGTCTCAAGCAATCAGGAGGCGGTAAGCCAAATTCAATCAGGAGATCTGTTCCGGGTGTTTTAGGGAAGCAAAGGATGCTGGGGCTTTTAGAGATCCTTAAAATCTTGCCCCCCAGAAATCCCTTCTGTTCATCTCAGAGGCAGAAACAGGATTCCTTACAGTCTAGGCTCCAAGGATCTCCTCCTCTTCCCCACCTGCTGAGCTAAGATTCAGCCCTAGGAGACCACTAGATGCTCTGAGGCCATCTCTCCCTCTGTGTTTTCACCCTTTCCAAATCTGCTCTACCACACCCAGATTCTCTGGATGACCCTGGCACCCCTGAGTTTACCCCGAGGGTAGGATAGCTCACCACTTGTCTCCTCCTTCAGTCTGTCAGCATCTTGAGGTCACAGTGGCAATGTGACACGGTGCTAGTTGTGCAGTGCTTTTAGCCATGCTGGCCTCAGTTTCCCCATCTGGACTACCTGGATTTGAATCCTGGCTAGGCCTTTTACAGGCTTGGTCACATTACTTTGCTTCTCTGTGCCTCAGTTTCCCCATATGTCAAGTGGGGGTTAAGAGTACCTCCCTGGCAGAACTGCTGTGAGCAGCATATTTGGGGAGGTCTCAGCACAGTGCTGGCACATAGTATTTTTTTAAAAAGAGAATGAGCATGGGACTACAAACTAATACAACCTCTTTGGAAGGAAGTATGGAGAAGAAACTCAAATTAGAGCTCCCATTTGATCCTGCAATCCCATTAATAGGCATCTACCTAGAAGAAAAAGAAATCCTTTTATCATAAGGACATTTGCACTAGATTGTTTATTGCAGCTCAATTTACAATCGCCAAAATGTGGAAACGACCTAAATGCCCACCAACCCAGGAATGGATTAATAAGCTGTGGTATATGTACAGCATGAAATACTATTCAGTCATCAAAAAGATGGAGACTTTACATCTTTTGTATTAACCCAAATGAAATTGAAACACATTCTTCTTAGTAAAGTATCACAAGAATGGAGAAGCAAGAATCTAATGTCCTTTAGAAGCCAGCATGCCTACCTAAGATAAAAACTCAAATCAATTCAAGGTGGCAGGCAGGGAACGAGGGAGCTGGCGGGGGTGGGGGTGGGGGGGGGAGTCCTCCCACTTAGTGGGCACAATGTAAGGGTATATGGCGCACCTCTTGAGCGCAGGACACAGCTACAAAAGGGACTCCACCTAACAAACACAAACATTGTAACCTAGTTGTTTGTACCCTCTCATTAATCTGAAATAAAGAAAAAGGAAAGAATGAGCAGAAAGAACACAGCGGATAAAGCCACCCTCATCTTTTTGCTCTGTGCGGCTGAGCGCCCTAGGAGGATTGTCTCTCTTCGCAAGTGAAGACCCTGAGGTCGCCCGGGTCCCTCCGCCTCCCCCGGGGCCTCACCTTGGCGGTTTTCAGCACCCGCGGCAGGTTAGCGGCTCCTGGGCCGGCCCTGCGCTCCCTCAGGGCCGTGTCCAGGGCGCCCAGTGCGCGCCGCGTGGCCCCCACGAACTCCCCCGACGGCTGCAGGTTGCGGGCCACCAGCTTGTCCAGTTCGGTGGCAGGGGTGCGGTACACGTCCATGGCTGCCCGGCTTGGTGAGAGCTCGGAGTCCGATGCTTTCACCCCTGGGTTTCGTTTTCCCGCAGGGCTCTCTCGGACACGCCCCTCCCGCTGTGCACTGTTCTAGGTCCCGGGCGGGGTGCAGAGTGACCGAAGGGGACCAGCGCTGCTGACCCGCCCCCTCCCCGCCCCCCCGCATCTCCGCCTTTCAGTTTCGTTTCTTTCTAGGAAGCTCTGGGCGTTTGCACTCACTTCCTGGTCTCCTCCCTAGTCGTGGATTGGGGAGAGGGACCAGGAAGTGGGTGCGAACTCCCAGAACTTTAGCCTTTCTGCTTCCAGCGTCGGGTCCCCGAAGGCCCCAGCTCTGAAGAAGTAATCGCGGCGGAATGAAACCCCTCTACAGCAGGAGGTCTGCAGAACGCATGGGATTGGCACGGAAGAGCATGTCAGAAACGTGCAGGTTTTATGTGAAAAAATGGTCAGAGTTCGGCCGAGTGGCTTGGAGGAAGCGTTTGCATAAACAGAGCCCCTACCTCGCTCTCTGGCTGAAGGGTGCATCTGAACACCACCACCAGGAATAACGAGGCACACTCGCAGAGTGCTTGTCCTGCGCTGCCTCGCACTTTCATTTCTGCTTCCTAACAACCCTGATGTAGGTGCTATTTAGGATCACACCTATCTGATAGGTGAGGAAGTTAATGTACAGAGGAACGAAGGAACTGTCCAAGGTCTCGCGTCTGGACAGCTGTCAGGCCGGCATTCAAACCCAGGTTAGCCCTCAGCCTGCACTCCACAGGAACCAGCTCCTCCTAACTAACTTACGCATTTAATGTAATGTAAAATTTTTCCAATCAAAGTTTTCATTTTTTCCTAAACTTCAAACGCTGCATCCTAAAGTCTGTCTGCAAGAAGGAAAAATTCTTTTAAAGAGGAGAAAATGGAAAGGAAAACCAGTTTAGAATGGTACCTTGCACAACAATATTACGTATTGAAACATCATAAAGCTGCAATGGGAGCCACCTCTTAGGACTGGTACAAAGCAAGGCAGACAGCTTGCTGCAGAGTGGGAATCCAGGTGAACTGCTGTCCTGTCCTGATGGTCTGCCCCCTCCTTTTTCTGCTCTTTCCCTGTCACTCCTCCACCCAGGAACCCAGAGTCTGCACACCTGAGCTTTTTTTCAGGTCTGGCTCAAGCCCCAGCCTGTCCTCTTCCTCCTGATCTCACTCAAGAACACACTGGTCCTCCCTGCCTTCAGCTCAAGGACTCAGCATTTACTCTGCTTCTGAGTAGAGTAAATTCAGGCAGCAGTTAATCCTAACAAGCGCTTCCTGAAGTCTGCACCTTAGCTGAAAGGACATAGATAGAATGAGAGTGTGAATTTCAGAGGTCTTGGTCAACTAGAGGGAGAGGTGCTGGACTGCCAGTGCCTACACCCAGTTTATATTCTGCGTGGTGAGCACTACATCACTAGGGACATTCAAGTAAGGCCAGGAGATGCCTTTGTGGGTGCTACGTGTTGTGGAGGAGATTCAAGCCAGGGGATTCAGTTATGATTTTCATGCTTTCCCGTCAATCCCAGTCATCTTCCTCATTCACAGCCCACTTCAGAAACCTTCACTCAAGACAGTTGACTGAACACACATTCAAGATCCCACTGAAGTAACAGCAAAGGTATGTTAAAATCATCATGCAAGTCAACGGGCCTGGACATGGAGAAATAGTGCCTTCAAGGGACCGAGACAGGGGAGGAGTTTTTAGAAGACAGAAAGCTGCAGGGTCAGACTGGGTCGGGATGGTGGACTTAACATATGCACAAACCCTCAACTCCCAGCCCAGATCTCGGGAAATGATGGGAAAGATAATGATGTTGCTGGGTCCGAAATAGAGGTGCTTTAGGCAAAGTGGAAACTACGAGATCCCTGAAAGAGGTAGGGAAGTGGGTGCAGGAAAGGGGGCCTAGGCAGGGTGGAAGGGGCTCTAGGAGCTCCAAGCTCCAGGAAGTGGAGTAATGGGGAGGAAGAGAATCTACACCGTGGCTGTCAGCTGTGCTTCCCAGCGCCACACCCTTTCTTGACTGTTTGTTTGACTTCTCCAGAAGAGTCCAAAACTGTCACAGCTTCGAGTGCCTGCAAGACTAGCCTCTGGTGTGGGCTGAATTTGGTCCTTACAAAAGGGCTCTAACTGGAATTCTAGTGGACCTCACAATTTACAGAAGTAATCAAGTTAATTAGAGGTGGTCCTGATTCTCCAGTGTCCTTAGAAGAGATATCTGCACACAGAATGGCATGTGAAGATGAAGCCAGAGGCTGAGGTGACAGCATTTGGAGAATCACTAGTAAGTCATTGGAAATGTGGAGAGAGGGAGGGATAGATTCACTCACAGCTCTCAGAAGGAGAGAATTCTCAGAAGGAATCAGCCCTGCCAACACTTTGGTCTTGGTTTCTAACCTGGAGAACTGTGGGTCAGTACGTTTCTGCTCTTTGAACTGCCCAGTCTGTGGCACTTTGTTAGGACAACCCCAGGAAAGTAATACAACCTCCTTCCAATCTCACTAGCTGTCTGGTGGCTCTCCTTCCCACCATCCACACCCCACATTTTGCTGAATTTCCTTTGGTTTCCCAAATCGATCTCAGTCATTCTCATGTCTGGAGTTTTTCACAGGCTGTTCCCTGTGTCAGGAAGGGCCTTTGCAGCCTCATTGGGGGCATGCATGCATCTTTCTGCACTTGGCCTTCCTCAGGGAGCTCCCTGGGGACCCTCCTGTCTCCCAGGCTCCGGGGCTTCCCTGCCATCATAGGAGCTCCTGCAGGTTCCTGTCATCACATTTACTAGGCCTCTAATAAGTTATTAGATAACCTATTAGATAATTAGAAGATCAACAGAACTCTGTTCATTAGACTGCTGATAAATAGTTCCTGTCTCCTTGTCGGACAATAGTCCCTGAGGACTCCTTTATTCACCATTGCATCCCTGGTACAGAGTCCAGGATATGGCCCAGGCCAGGCCTTTGCTAAATATATTTTTGAATAATCACAATAATATGCTCTAACTGCCATCGAGATAAGCTATTTGTGAGGCACTGCAGACATCCATCTTCCACTTGCTCATTCAATCCCTTCCATAACACCAAGAGCTATAATTGCACCCCCTCTTTATAGGGGAGCCTGCTTCACCGATGGGTTAGTTAAGTGACTTGTTCAGGATTGTGATGCCCAGTAAGATTTAGAAGAAAGATTTTAGCCCAGACAGCCTGAATCCAGAGCCCTGGATTTGACTCACCTAAAGGAAGGTTAGGGAGGGGCATTGCTGACCAGCAATGGCTGGAAGAGAGGTCCTGGCGCCTCACAACAGGGGTGACAGGTGTGGGATTTGTGTGAGGAGGAGGGGTGTCTGGGAGAGCTCACTCACCCAGGGCATTGGACACAGTAGGACATCAAAATTGACCCCTTCCTTGAGCTGCGGGACCTCAGCATGAAGCTGAGTATGTGGGGCTTCCGTCAACCCTGGACCTCAAACTTCACATCAAACGTTTCCTCTTTTTGAGTCTTTCCAGCTGTGTCCTAATTTCCTGCATCCTCATTACTCCTCTTGGGTTTGGGTTTGTTTCCTCAGCAGGAAGGAGCTGGGAATGGGGCCTTATCTCTGGGGACTGAGAAATTGACAGCTCAGGTGTTTCTATTTTCTATGATAATCTCCATCATTTTTATATATCTGTTCTTCTGTTTTCAAATCTCATGAATTTGTCCTTGAACCAGCAGCTCCCACCATCAGCTCCCTAGAACTTTCTGTAACCAAGACCCACCAGTTTTGCATAAACTATCTGAGCTTAGCTGAGAGAAAGACTTCTCAGAAAATTTTTTTGCAAGAAAAAAAAAATGACTTGATTATTTCCTGTGGCCTCACAAATAATACGAGTTTAGTGCAAACGATGAATAAAATCAGAACATTCAGAAAAGTATAAAGATCACCTATGATGCTATACCCAAATTTCACCAGTGAAAACATTTTGAGTTTTCCAGGAACCAGCTATTACAAAATGAAATCAAAGAAAAGATACTAAGTACAGCAGCCCTGAAACAAATACTTAGAAATAAATATTACAAAGGACATGAAAAACTTCTGCAGGGAAAATGATAAAACTATTACAGAGTCATTAAGGAAGACTACAATTAATGGAAAGAAAATTGAAGTTAGTGTATTTATAATTCTCAGTATTTCCAGTATAGAGATGTTATTCTCCCTAAACAAATTTGTGTAATTCCAATTAAATGCCTTAACATTTTAGAGTGGAACTTCACAAATTGAGTGTAAAATTAATTTAGAAAGGACCAAGAGAAGACGGGACTGTTGACAAAGACAGAACCGAGCTTGCCATAAGGCGTTAAGAACTACAAGGTAGGCCCAGCGTGGTGGCTCATGACTGTAATCCTACTACTCTAGGAGATTGTGGCAGGAGGATCCCTTGGAGTTCAGGAGTTCAAGACCAGCCTAAGCAAGAGTGAAACTCTGTCTCTGCTAAAAACAGAAACATTAGCCAGCATGGTGGCAGGTGTCTATAGTCCCAGCTGCTTGGGAGGCTGAGGCAGGAGGATAGCTTGAGCCCAGGACTTTTAGGCTGCTGTGGGCTAGGCTGACACCAGAGAACTCTGGCCTGGGCTAAAGAGTGAGACTCTGTCTAAAAAAATAAAAAATAAAAGAATTATAAGACCATAGTAATTATGGCAAGGTATATTAACTCAGGGATATAAAAAATGGACCAGAGAGTTGAGAAGCTGACTCCCCAGCCCTGGGTATATGTCAGAGGTGGCCTTGCAGAGCAGTGGAGAGGGGATGGCTCCTTTAGCAAGTGACGCTAGGATAGTTGGGCATTCACATACAAGAGCTGGAACTGGACCTCTACCTCACACACACTATAAAAATAAACGGCTTTTGTTGCCTGTGTTCTGGTATGAGATTCATGAAATCATTGCCAAGACCAATGTCATGAAGCTTTTCCCCTCTTTTCTCTTAGAGTTTTAGTTTTAGGTCTTATATTTAAGTCTTTAGTCCCTTCTGAGCTGAGTTTTGTGTATGATGTAGGTAAGGGTCCAGTTTTACT